ACCCACATTCCCAAATCCTCCCCGCTCCCACTGCCCCTCAATTCCAAGGGGCCCATCCAGACCTGAAGGTGAGGGACAAAGGGTGGGAACGGGACTGGGTGCAAGCAGGGAGGGGGTGAGATGGGGGCAGGGAGGGGCTGGTAATGAGATGAAAATGGAAGATGGGGGGGGCTGCAACAAGGAGAGGTGGAGGGAAGGGACGGAACAAAAGCCAGACAGTCCCCTCTGGGTTCTGTCTGAGCCAGGAAGCCTGGGTTCTCATCTCCTCTGCTGTGACCTGGGGTCAGCCATGGCCTTCCCTGACCTTCTGTGAAACAAGCGGACTTAAACAAGCCTGTCCTGGGGGCTCCCCAAGTCCTGCTACAGCATCTCCTTAGCCGGGGGCAGGGATTTCGGATGCATCTCTGTATTTCTAAGGAAGATCCCCCAGGTGCTTGTTGAGAGTGTGATGGATCAACTTCCTTCAGGTGGCTCTTCATCACTTTGAGGGTCAATCCAGCCTCTCCCGGAGGCCAAAGATACCCTCCTGGTCCTCTGCACAGGCTCTGTCTGGCACCCCTCTCCCTGCAGCTGCTCGGCTCTGGCCACACCTTCCTCCTCGCTTTTCCGTTAAACACAAGCTCATCCCCCTGGGTAACTCAGGACCTTTGCACTTCCTGTTCCCTCATCCTGGCCGCCCCATTTTACCTTTCAGGCGTCATGTCACCTCAAAAAGCCCTTCCACAGACCCTCTTATCTGGAGTGGCCAGAGGATTTTTTTCCCACTTGTTTACTTTCTGCTTCCTCCAGTCAGGGGGTATCAAACTTTTCCTGTAAAGGGCCAGGTAGTAAATAATTTTGGCTCTGTGGGCCAGACAGTCTCTGTCGCAAATATTTATCCTACTGTTGTAGCATAACAGTGGCTATGTTCCAATAAAGCTTTATTTACAAAACAGCTGGCCGACAGAGCTGGTCCGTGGGCTGGAGGATGCCGACCCACGGCCTGGGGTATACACTGAGGGCGGCTCTCTCTGCAGTCAGTACCGAGTCCCCAGGGCCGGGAACTGCGCCCTCGGTGATTAGCTGCCGAGTGAATGAACGGACGGGTGGATGCAGCTAGGGGCCAGCTAGGGTGGCTGTGAGGACGCAGGAGGGATGTTAAATTCCCGGCTCGTGCCAAGTGCTTGGTTACGTTTGCCGGATTTACTGGCCTCACCAGGCCACTCTGCAGCCCTTTCCCTGCTGTTCCCTGACTGTCTCCTTCCTTCCTTCCCCAAGAGTCCAGAGCTGACCTGCTTCTCCCCAGGTCCCTGGACAAGGGCCCGGCCCCTCAGCCGGCCCTGCTTTCCAGCCTCAGCTGTCCTCCAGCCTCCAGTCTCCTGGCTTTGCGTGTGCTTGTCCCTCTGTCACTACTGTCTGACAGGATCACTTCCTCGCTGGCAGCCAGGATAACTATCAGTTATCAATTCCTTCAGAAAGCCTTTCCTGTCCCTTCCTTCTACTCCGGCATCTTTTTCGTGTTCCTCTTACTGTTTGACCCTGTGCCACCTCCATATCCACATATGTCATCACCTCAAATAGCGACTTTCTCCCACTGTGTCGGCCTCCCCCACCAAACCCAGCTCCTGGGGAGGGTCGGGTTGATTTTGTTCACTGAATTCCCCGTGTGGGGACCTTTGGGTGCCTTGTAAGCTGGCCAGTTCACAAATGACTGAATGGGTGGCCGAGTCTTTCTCATCCCATCTGGCACCCCGAAGTGTGACCTGGGTGTGCACCCCGTTTTCTCGGCTGAATTTTTAAAAACCCAAAAGGGGAGGCAGGGAGAGAGGTGTCGATGGGGGTGAGGATGGGGGTCAGTCGTGAGGGCTGGGAGGGAGGTCAGGCACATGGTGGGGAGGGCTGGGGTTAGTTCCAGGGGGTTAGTGAGGGGCAGGGCTAGTCCTGGGAGGGTGGGTGTGGGGTCAGCGTCAGGACTGAAGGTTAATTAGATGGAGCTCTTCATGGTGAAGGGGCAGGAGTCTCGGTCAGTGGGGGCTACATGTTCTCAGAGGGGTTAGTCAAGAGGGGGGTTCAGAGGACAGGGGCTACTTACCCCGGGGGGAGGGGGCTCGTCCACTAGGGG